AGGGGACACATGCTTGCACACGCACATGTGCCCCCACCCCGTCCTTGCACACACATGCACGCTCCAGCTGGGAACCTCGCATGCAGCCCAGCTCACGGGGATGGGCCTCGCACAGGGCACGTGCCCCCCCCTTACTGTGACATGGAAGCTGTGAGTACCCCGTCCCCCATGTCTGTGTCCATCCATTGCCCCCCCCAATAAAACCCACCTCAGTTGCCCCCGAGGCTGGTTCTGCACGACGGGGCCCCGACGCCTGGGTTTTCTGGGCAAGGAGTGTGGGCCAGGGGGGTGGGGGCCCGGACCCCTGGGCTCTCCCCAGCTCTGGGAGGGCAGGGGGGCGGGGGGACGAGGGCAGGGGGGGCTGGGAACCTGCACCCCTGGTTTGAGGGGATGGGGGAGAGACCGAGGTCATTGTGGGGCACGGACGGGGGTGACCAAAGGCCGCTCCAAGGTCCCAGGCAGCCGGGATGGCAGCAGGGCCAGGTAGGGGCTGCCTCAGTGTCCCCAAGGGGGTCCCCCCAACAGGCCCCTGGGGGGTTGCTGCAGTGGGTCCCCAGTGGCTGGGGGCTCCCGGACCCCTGGGACCCATTGCACCTGCCGCCGGTCTGGGTGGCAGGTTTTGGGGGGGATGCTGCGCCTTCCCAGGTCTTCCCCCTTCAGTCCTGAGCCTTGTTTCTGCCCCTCCTTGGCTCTTGCCCCCTTTATTGTTAGGTGCCCCCCCCCCCGGGGCTCTTCCCCCACTTCTACTTGTGGGGTTTTCTCCTTTTCTTGGCCCGTTGCCCTCCCAGGTGTGGGTCTCCCTCTTCACCTCCGGGTGCCTCCTCCTCATTCTTGGGCCTTTTCCTCCTTCTTCTGGGCTCTTTTCCCCTTTATCCCTGGGTCTCTCCCCACCCCTCAGGCAGAAAGGGGAAGAAGAGGCAGTGAAGGAAGAAAGGGGAAGACCCCCGCCCGCACCGTGGGCCTGGATGTGATGGCTCACAGAGAAGGGGTCGGGGGCAGAAGAGAGGAGGGCTTAGGGCAGGGGAGACAGGAGGGGAAGCAGTAGAGGGGGTGGGGGAACAAAGGAGAGAGCCAGGAATGAAGAGGGGGGCAGAGACCCTCATGGAGAAAGGGGGATGGTGGAGGAGAGACCAAGAAAGAAGGGGAAAGATGCCAGGACAAGGAGGAAAAAGGCAAGAAGAAGTGGGGGAAGCTGAAGAAGAGGGGCAGGACCCAAGGAGGAAGTGGGGGCAAGAGCCGGGAAGAAGAAGGGGAAAGACCCCAGGAGAGAAGGGGGACAGGCCTCAAGAACGAGGTGGGGGGAGCCCCAAGAAGGGCGGGTGGGGGGGACCCGAGACCAAGGAGGGAAGGGCGAAAGGCCCCAGCAATAAGGGGGGAAACAGCCAAGAAGCA